GAATAAAGCAATCATGTAATATAAGAAGAATTTTACAATAAAATCATTTATTGAGGATTTTACAGAATAAGCGTGTAATTAAAAATTCAAGAAATTTGCCATTAAAATTAAAGAATACAGAAGTTAAGGACACACTTCATATAGACCCTTAAATTAATCGTTGTATTATCTCGGTGTTGTTGGTAATAAACAAAAAAAACCGGCACTAGTCAAATTATGCCGAGGGTGTTGTATTTGATGCAATATATTCTTATCTTCCCGTTCCTAATGTATCTTCCATTTTTATTGAAGTTTACATTGATCAAAGCCTTAGTTTAATATAGTTTCATGTTATTACTATACCACCCCTCCCCCCCCCCCGCCCCCCCCCCCCCAACCCCCATTTTGTTGCATTTTGTGTATCGTGTACTGGTTCTATATATACTTCGAGCATATACGTGCACATTTTTGGAGTAATCTTTAACGTTTTTATTTATACAATAAATTTTATACAGAACGAAAAGAAATGATCAAAGATGTCAGTTTGTATGCATGTTTTACTTGTTAACTTGCAGATGTATTAATAACCACACGACACTCTTTCAATAATTTGTAGAATCATTGATATAATGTTTGTTGATATATGCGATGTAAAATTCTATTAAACAATTGTATAAGCTTTGTAAAAACAGACGACTGCACAGACATAATACAAATTGCAGCAGCATATGAGCAGTACACTTTCTGTCGTTATATAGTACCAAATCAAGCTATCAAATGTTCAGCTGGTAAAGTTACCGGTTTTTCAAAAAGTGGCCAAATCTTAAACCGGAACGGAGAAATAATGCAAACAGATGACCTGCAAGATAGTCTACGAGATTTTATTAATTGGTTACATGACACAATTCAAAGCTTTTTCATTCGAGAGTTTTAGTTTATTCCATGGAGAATAATTCTTTCTTTGATAGTTTTGAACAAAAATATAAGGGTTTTGTTGACTCGCTATCTTTGCTGAAAACTGTGCTACCAGAGAGGAAACAAACGGGTAAAGGTAATAACCAGGAGTGCCTAGTATTTGACATTCTTGGTGTCAAATACGACGCACATAATGCCGTTGGAGATGTTCAAGCATTACAACAACTAGTAGAACATGTGTCGCTTCCCACTGAGAAAGTTGCACCACACTCATTCTCAGTGGAATATGTTTCACAGTCTTATGAAAGTGAGGGGTCTGATGGTGTTGCCATTCTCCTATCGGAACTTTTTTTTTTGGAAAAGCCAGAGTCACAAAAGATAAAATAATTATATTACATCTTTTTTTTGAGTCAAGACATTGGGATGATTTCTATTTTTATGTTATTACTATTTTTGCGTTCATGTACTTACAAAGTATTTTCGTCTGAATTAGTAATTGTTTTAAACATGTTTATTGATAATGAACATATCATATTTTTTACAACTGTTATAATTTAATTTGAAATACCTGTCCATAAAAGAGGGTCTGACTGGGGTTTACGGAATACAGAATAAAAGGCAAAAACTGCACAATAAAAGGCAAAAAAGAAAAAAAGAGAACAGAGAATGATGAGGTGCTAAAATATAAAGAATAAAGAATACAGTACTGGTAATACAAAATAAAAATTAATAAATGAAGGACCCTCTATCCAGACCCTTATGATAAAAAGAACCTATCAATACAAAACACATAATCATCATGCGTAATCAACACCAAGAACGTTGGAAATTCATACCATGATAGCTTGACGTTATGTAATAAAAATGAAGACGTCACGATTTTTGATGTTTTTTCCCCAAAATGTTGAGGTTGCGTCGTTTCTAGAGGGAAAACGAAGTCGGTGACCATATTTTTTTTTCACATCATCTTATTTGTTAGACAAAGAGGAAGAAATCATCATTTTAAACAAAAATTCTATGGAGTGAATCTCGTGATTTATACAGGAAACTGAAAAGTGTAGAAGAAAAATAAGGATTTTCCCTATATATTCAATGTAATTTAGTACCCTCTCGGACCATTTTGAAAATGGCTTTTTCTCGAAAACGAAGTCGGTGACATATACTTTTTTTTTAATTTTCTGATGTATATTTTCAAAATCTAATTGAATTCTAAATTTTAAACAAATCTATGGACTGGTCATTTACTGATCCTTGACCTTAATTGGTTTGCTATATAGAAGGTGTTTGACATTATTTGTTAAAGAAGTTGTTTGACATTTTAAAGATACACTTGGTTTGCTATATAGAAGGTGTTTGACATTTTATGTATACGGATGGTTTGGTATTGCGTGAACCCCTGTGGGTTCCCGCATATTAATTAGTTAGAAATATAGTCTATGGAGGAATATTCGGAACCCTAATATTTTGGAAGAGACTTTATACTAACCTCGGTAGCCGTACTAATGCGCACGCAATATAATTAAATAAAAATAGATTTTTGAGGGGATTTCTTATTATCACTTCCGGAATCCAAGCTTTCGCGCTGTTTACAAATACTAGAAAATCTTAAGACTTCTTAAGACAATCAAAATGGTTACTTAATCTTTTAATAATAACCATAGTTATTTTAAAAATGACAGAAACGGTTCCATACCCCGATATTAAAGCAGGTAGGCTATACTGAACTGTACACTTACCCAGAGATATTTTCCTTTGCTAATCTCACTAAAGTAGCAAAGACATATCAATCTATGAATATGATATTTTAATATTTTTATTGATGCTTGCAGGTGCGAATCTTGGATTCTAAAGGGGGACTGAAAAACAATTTTAAGAATGGGACTTGTCAAAAGCCTTGAAAAGGCTATGCATTAATACTTGCACTATATACATGTATGTATCTCCATATTAAAATGATAATTGCATTAATACACCTTATCGCTATTTGTCCGCCATTACTGGACATCACACAAGTTCCCGTAAAATTTTGATGTCATAATAGAAAATATCTGACGCCACAATGGAAAAGTGATTGTTGTATGATGCCAAAAGTTGAGCGGGACTGATTCTCGGGTCAAGCGGGATTAGCGATAAGGTGTATGGGGCCCCCAGATTGATTGATTGATTGATAGGTGTTTAACGCCACAGCACTATTGTGCCTAAGAAGATTATGATTCAGATTGTCAATGAGACAACTCTCTGTCGGACACCAATTGACATAGAAGTTAGCTATAGGTCACGGTAAGGCCTTCAACAATGAGTTAAACCCACACTGCATAACAATTTATAGATATTGATTATATATACACTTAACTCACATGTCCAATGCAAAAATCAGTAAAAAATATCCTTTTCAAATATGCTATGAATTGTTCAAGCTTGATCATGATGTTCTATTATATTCTTATTTACTTACCTACAAGGGTTTAAAATAATGAATTCATTACTTCACGATTAAAGGCTTAAATCCTGCATTTAAAAAAAAACATTTAATAAAAAATATACTGGTAACCTAATAAATGAAACACACTCATGCTAAATAAAATATTGGGTATAAGTCGGTTAAGTAGGAGTTGGCGAATGTACAAATTGTTGTTTATCTTCAGTTTATTATTGGTGGAAGATGCTGGATTGCTTTAGTAGGAAAACTGACTATCCTAGTCAATTGAGATTGGAATCCAGCTCACCTGCCATAAGTGAGCCCCCTAGAAACACAAGATTAGGTGTGAGACTTGCATAAAGTCTATGCATTTTAATTGATTATTATGCTACTAAGCTACTGACCCCCCTAAATAGACCACTTTCAAATTCATGCACTTTCTGGTAAATTTCGTGTCTTTATGCTCATGTAATTAAGTTACAGTAAGCACTGATTGTAAGATGATGTGGTTTATGCCGATTGACCTTGGGTCAGCCGGTGTAACTCATTCATATAGTCAATGATTTCTCTTGGAAATTAACTTATTGTTATACATTATTGCTTTTTACCAAGGTGAGCAAGACACAAATCCAATTACAATTTGAGATCCAAAGGCACTTTATAGCTTGTTTGCTGGCTCAAATTTATTTTTGAAGCAAAGAAGGTATTCTTGCTAGCCCAGTATTATATGTAAAATAAAGAACTTGATCACTCTAGTAGTAAGCTGGGCTATCTTTAAGAAAATCAATCTTGCATCATCGTGATCATTCTTAAGTGCAGTTAGCACTTCCATAAATCAATTAAATTTGATTCACAGGTAGTACATGAAGATAAAAATGGAAAACTAGTTCACCATACAATATCCAGACCAAAAATATTTACTCTAAATTCAGGAAATGAATAACGCAATTTACTGTTTATATTAAGGATAAAAGTGGATAAGTTGTCTGCTTACAAGTTACTTTAATAATCCATGTCTTATTTTTATCAAAAGCTACTGATGCAGATCATGTCAAAAACCAATGGGAAGATTTGTTTCTGGATGACACACGTCCTAATGCATATAATGGATTTGTAAATACGAAAGACCAATTTGAAGAACTGAAATGGCACTATGAAGTAGATACAAAGTCAAATTTTGTAGCTGTAAAGACTTCAGTTAATTTTGGCAACACAGGTAAGAATGTAATTTTAACTATGAATTGTTTAAGATGTTTGGTTATAGCTGATAAAAATAATATACAAATGTCTAGTATTTAGTTTTACGGTTAACAAATTAATGTTTTCAGATATATGTATTAACATGATTAACATGATTTAAAGATGATTCATTGATGTTGCTGTTTTATCCCTGAGCAGCCTTTGTTGGGGCAAAGAACATGAGACACATGATAAAAAATGAACATGAATACTTCCTGCTATGAATTAGACTAACATAATGAGCCATTCTAATTAACAAGTTGACAGTTATACAGGAAGACAGGTCACTCTACAGATATGTATTGCAAGTCTTAAAAAAAAGGGTACAGGGTAATCACACAAGAGCACAACATAAAAAAATGCATGAACTAGGTTTTAATTCAGCATGTGTTGATATTTATTGGTCTGTTTTGTAGATATTAAGAAAAAACAGCACAAAATTCAGTGGATGGATTCTGAAAATGATGGACTTCTGCCTGACAATCCATACATTGTTTTATCAGTAGAAAGATATGAGTGTCATCATGGACCTGATAGAAATAAGGCAAAGAAGAACAAACCTGAAGCTGTAATTTAATATTTTCATCGGTTTATAAAAAGCAATATAATTGTATTTTAAAAAAACAACATTATTTATTTATACAAGCTTGAGAAACAGATGCATGTCTTGGCAGACTTTCCAAACCATAATTTATAATGAGTACAAATTTATGTTAAAATGCAATATCATACAGTACATAAAATTTGATTTGGATTTAGCTACAAAAGACAAAATCAATGCGTTTCAATTCTGTTCTGCAGGAAGTTCAGCTGGTTTACTCATAACTTGATTAATACCATTGAAATGTATTGTTTCAGGATACTATTTATATATACATGATGTAAAAAGCAAAGGATTATATGTACACCTTAATATCTAAATACTTTTAAATTTGTAGACCAAAATTTTTTAGCAGGTTTGTCTCCGAGCCAACCATCGTCTGAAGTATTATATAATAATAAATAGTTAGTGTATGTAATGTACTTTAAAACTTCATATAGTAATTGCTTTAATTAGTGTAGCTTAATTAATTAAACCCCAAATAAAGTTCCGTAGCTGGTTCCTTACGTCTACGTTTTGTAAGCAGGCGGAAATGGTTTTGTATTCAATTTTATGACAACTCAGCCCACGGCCATCTCGCACCTTTCAAACACTCTCACTAATTATAACAACTTGCATCACTTTATCAAACTCGCATCACTCAAAAAAAAAAAAAAATATAACAAACTTGAAGAAACTATCAACATAATGCATCAGTGCATAAAAACAGTGTGAGAAACACGAACCCAAGCTGTGTATCACTATAAACATTTCAAGTTATCCTTCAAGCTGCGCTCATGCAGGTTTTTTTCTAGTATGATGTAAATACGCGTATTGCGACTTATTAAAACCATTGTAGTAGAAATGTGTATTGTCAAATTTAACATTATTAAAGTTTTGTACTATAAGTAGCTTCGGATTTGTTTTACTTAAGGCAAAATACTGATTAAAAATTTTTAGAAGATATTTGCTAAAATTTTCTTTTGAAAATGTGAGGAATAAGTATGAGTTGGTTAATTTATGTACAGTTCAAATGTTGGGAATGTAACGTATAAGTGGTGCTCTATCCACATTTAGCACACATACTCTTAACATTTTAAATGTTATATGTGTTTGTGTTAATTTTGTAACTACAATGCAGTTTTAACAGTAAATACTTTTTTTCCAATTTAGGTTCCTGACCATGTTTATGGGAAAAAAAGATTTTTAATTCAGCCAACCAAGAAAATGGATTGTCCTGCAACAATTATTGCTAAAGAAGTTATTTTTTTCACAGACTATAAGGTATAAATCATTTAAATTTCTGTTGGAAACATTGTTATAAGTGTTGATCAGACAATGAGTTAACTTAAATCACACTTTTTGATATATTTATATATATATATATATATATATACTGATAGAAACCTTCATATAAAAAGAAGAACAGATATGGTGTAATCACACATTAGATTAACCAACCAATTCATATAACAATGACAAACACAAAACAAGATTCACCTGTCTGTAGTGGCATTCCGGATGGCATCACCTACACAATAAAGTAAGCTAATGGTGTCCCTTACAAAAAGTGTATTCATTTCAAATGGCTTTGAACTAGCTTTCAGTAACTGCTAGTATTTTGGTGCTTTGTGTCTATTATGTTTATGTTAGTTGTTATTATGCCTTATACCAATCTTTTGAGTTCAGTCAATTGCAACTGATTTTTACAGTTTGTTCTTATTTTGTGATGCAACATGACTGTCCAAGGTTAGGGGAGGGTTGAGCTTAACCCCACCACAAACGTTATGTGCTTGTCCCAAGTCAGATGCCTGTAGTTACATGATTGGTTTTGTTATGAATTAGGCCATTAGTTTTCTCAATTGAATTATTTCAAATTTTTTATGTCGAACCTGTTATAGTGTATATACAGTATGTGTTTTTCTCATTGTTGAAGGCCATATGGTTACCTATGACTGCTAACATCCACTTCAATTGAACTTTAGTGGATAGTTATCCCATAGGCAATCATATCACATCTCATTATTTTTATATTCATTGGTGAATTTTCATCCAACCTTACAAAAATATTGGGTGAGAGAGGATTTGATTTTTGATTATCAAAATGTGATGCAATTCATCCATTCTTTTTTCAGGGAAAGGGGGGGAGGGTATGATTATCTTTGCATTAATTTTGATTGGCCTAACTTTGGCTGTATTATGTTTTTGAATACATTCAATGTAAAAGGTCTTACTGTTTGCAACATTCATTAAAATTCAATTCACATTTCAATGATTAAATGATCATGTGTCCACATGGTCAGCTCCAAAATTGTTGAATGTGGTAGCCTTAGATTCCAGAAATTTTAATTATTTGAAAAAGGGAAAATACTATCCACAAATAAAGACTGGAAAACTGAGGGTGTAAGAAATTGTTCATTTAAATAACATAAACAGTACCAAATTTTGCTGCACCAGATGCGCATTTCAACAATCAATGTCTCTTCAGTGATGCTCGAGACCAAAATATTTGAAAATTCAAAGCTTATTAAAAGGACGAAGAGCTATAAACAAAAAAGGACAAAAAAGTAAAGCCAAAAGCCGGGCAAATAATCAAAGCTTTGCATGAGGGAGATATATTCCTTAATTTAAAACAATAAAGTTTTATTGCAAACTATGGGAGAACAGGTATTAATTTTTATTATCTGTTATTTCAGACATCTGTTTCAAAGTGGCAGCGTGAAAAAATTTCCAAAGACATTAAAACTGGCATGATGGACGACAAAAAGCTTAATCTGAAGATGGACAAAAGATTAGTGATTAAACTGCCAAAAAAAGAAGAACATAAATTCCATTTACAAGGAGAGGTAAGAGTTATTTCATTAAAATTAATTATTATATATTTTTCAATATTCACTAGAATGTGATATTCATCAGTTTTACTTCAAGAAACTTGCGATGTAATAACGTCAACATTCAACATAATGAATTTTGGATGAATGTTTTGTATAGTAAGGCAATTCATAAGATTAAAAAGCTTTACACTGTATTTACAATTCATATATTTTCATTGCCTTTGAATTGTTGTCAAACATAGAAGTTACAAAAACAAATGAACTTTAGTTCTTTTGTATCGAGGAGCTCTATGTATAGGCAAAAATTGCCGTTCCTGTAATTGAACACACTATTGCTATTGACGTAAAAGACAAAGAAAAATGAATTTGTGACATGCTATAACCATTTACAATAACATAATTAGGGTAGGAAGAAGATAAATTATTATGAAAATGTAATTATTGTGTGTGTTTTGTAGGAAAGAAGGAATTATAAATTTCATCTGTATAGTAAATTGATCACTGAACAAATTTAATTTTAAAATTTTACTTTTATTTAAAAAAATTGACTTTCAACAAATTGGAGTCAACATTTGTTTATGTTTCAATACTTTGTCAACTTTTACATTCGTTCATTTTCCTGTACAATGCTTATGCTCAGGTGCTAATCAACATTAACTTAATCACAAGTTATTGACATAAAGTTAAGTTTTCTAATTTAATTTAAAAAGCCTAGTGTTTATAAGCATCATAGTATTATGTTATTGTTTTACCAGTTCTTCTTTAGAAAATTTTTGAAAAAATTTGCATTTACATTGTATAGCAACAGTATATTCATATTTTAGATAGAAGAAATATCTATGCCAGTTGACAAAAGAATAGTTGCCAAAGTTGAGGATTATGTCACTGAGGGATTCATATCAGCTTCATGTATCCGCATGTTGTTGGACACATTCGTTCGAAAAGAACTTTTTGCTGGACAGAGATCACCATCTTGGACAAACAGACGATTTTTTCCCAGCCAGAAAGATGTGTCAAATTTGATATATTCAACCAGGCTAAGGGCAGTCAAGTCAAAATTCGATCAAGAAAATTTAGTTGGATGTGTTGAGGAATGGAGACGGGAAAACCCAGATGACTTGATTGACTTTAGTCCATCAGATGATACATCAAGACTGTTGTTCATCTATCAATCAAGACAACAGAGGAGATTGCTGCAACGTTATGGCAATGAGATCTGCTTCTTAGATGCTACCTATAGGACCACAAAGTACTCTGTTCCTTTATTTTTCCTTTGTGTCAAAACCAACATGGACTATGCTGTTGTTGCTGTTTTTGCCAGCCAATTTGAAGACACCAAAACCATAGCAGCAGCTTTAGGAAAGATAAAGGAATGGAATTCTGAGTGGAATCCACAGTTCTTCATGGTGGACTACTGTGAAGCAGAAATAAATGGTATTGGAACATGTTTCAAAGGTATTTAACATTATGTTGAAGTCATGCATAACAGTTTATCGTTTAATTCTTTGCATTTGGCAAATGAGAAAAAGAAAACAATAATTAACTTTAAACCTACCAAGAAGGAAATCAATTGTAATACAGGAACAAGCTAAAAGATATTTGTCACCATCTAATCCCAAATTGGTGCCAAAAACTCTTCAAATACACTACTTCTTTTCCTATTCTAATGCATAGTAAAAAATTATAATTGCATTTTGCTGTTAAAATGCCATAAAATTCAAATGATATAAAAATCAGCTAAGTAGAAAATGACAAATTTTTTACGTGGAATAATTCAGTATTTTAGATTTCAAGAATTAATTTGACTCATTAAAAGTTTAATCTTTAGAGTTATGGCATATCAACGTTAGATTGGAAGGAAAACATAAGCCAATAAAAAAAGTGAGATACACCAAAATTGCATTAGAATAAGACAGTCATGACAGGTACTTGTACTGTAAACAGAAATTACATTTAACAAATGAAAAATGGCAGTTAAACAGATTAATTTGAATTTCTAAATATTTGAATCAAATTAAAAGTTAATTTAGAATTTACCCTTTTCTCATTTGCACAGTTGTTTTAAGCATGATGTATGATTGATATGGTCTTGAAATGAAGGGATAGAAATAAGCACTCTCATGCTGGCCTGTTGGAAGTAATTAAACAAAGGGTCAGTAAGAAAATAAAGTAATGTGCTTGCTGGGCTAGCTTATGTCATTATTTCAGGATAAATGAAATGCTTGTGTATTATTATTTAGGCCTGTAGATCTGAAGGTCAGCTTGCTAGCTTGTCCAGTTAAATCTTGAGTCTTATTTCTACCTCTTAAACAATAATGAATCAAATTATGAATGAGCAATTAACACTGTTTCAGCCAGTATTAAAAAAGAGGGCATGGTGCATTTATCAAAAGGGGCATTTAAGCATGTAAAATCATTGGGGGGAAAAAGAAATCAGCATGGCCCTCTCAGTTTGTGTGTTTTTCTCAAATTGACAATATCACCATGAATAAAAATATTTTATAAAACTCAAAACCAGAGTTATTGCATAGACAGAAATTGTTTACCTAATGCAATAAGTTTTCTCCATATTATAACTTAAAGTTCTGGAATGTCTGTTTGAAATGCATAAAAAAATATATTTCAATTTCAAAGTAATTAAAATGTGACAGTGAGTTTTGCTGCAATGTGTAGTGTGTTATTTTTATCATCATTATCATGTTTGCATTTTAGTACTGTTACTTTCTTGTTGGGGACTAGTCATCCTTCATGGGGGTGCACTACTGTTTTCGTGACATTTTCTTTATTTGTATTATACTAACTTTGTACTTCCATGGGGTCTCTTGTCAAATTATTTAATATTGGTACAGACATGGCCATATTCATTTCAGCATTCATATAATTGAAAATTGCAGAAACCATACCCATTCATATTTGGATATAAATTATTATGATGCTAATTCAAAACAGTGAATATTTTAGAACATTGTTTATATATATATTTGGCAAGTTTATTTACCAAATATTGTAAACCAACTTGTTTCGGTGTTTAGCCTTTTTTTTAATGGAATTGTGATAATTTATTTTTCATGATTTTCTAACTTAATTGATGTAATTATGAAAAGGAAGATTAAAGTTCACATATTCATGAGGATTTATAAAAGTGTTATCTTCTTCTTTCTGGCCAGTGATGCAAAAAACAGCTGCTTTTAATTTACAGTAATGTATTACACACCTCATAAATTAGATTCATTCCAGTCTCACATCTGTATCTACCTTTTATAGGAAGGTACCCAGTTTGTTAATTTTTTTATATTGCTTTAACTTAAACATGTTTTGCTTGTTTGTTTTAAAAATTATTATTTCATCAGAATAGCTGTAACAAGACTTCAAATTACCATGGTTGGTCAATATGAAACTCGGAACTGTTTCACCTGAAATCACCTGGCACCTGCAAGGTCATTTTGGGAGGATATGTTATGACATGCCAAAAAAATTCCAAGAAATCAACTGGATGTTGATACAGGTATATGTAAGTAACAAATAAGTCTTATTCTTTTCAAGGTTACAAACTTGCCACCTGTTTGTGGTCTTCAAAAATTTGAACAACAAAATTTAATCGAATAAAAATGACAATACAACAATGAAAATGTACTTTACACGCCTTCTACAGTAAAAGATTATGAAATAATTCATATTGGACATCAGAATATAAATTTTTAAATCATCTTATAATTAGTAGGGTGTATGAGATATTAATGATCTTCTATAGAACAAGATAAGTTCAGGGCATCTAATTTTTCTTTTTAGTGTGCAAAAAAACCATAGAAGAAAATTAAAACTATAATATATTACTTGTAGTGGGTTATCATGAACACTTTTAGCATGTTGCTGCAGTAAATCTAAACAATTGTGGTATTAAATTTAACACAATTTTGTGGTTGATTATGGTAATATAAAAATAAAGAATAGAGCATAAACAAACATGAGACCCTACATCTTATACGCCAAAAAAATGCAAGACTTCAAATAGACAGCTGTAATTGTGAATTTAAACAATTTAGAAGTCTAATAAATAATGAATGCTATTTCATTAAAACATATAAGGTACAATTATCAATTGTTATGAATTATCAAAAGGCAGTTGGGATTTTAAATTTTGAAAAACTTGTTCAAGGTTGTGTTCCACTGAAAAAGTCATTTGATTATGGTTATAAGGTTTGTGAATAAATTTGGTATATTACTTTTATAGATGCTCATCAAAATTTTGAAATGATTTCAACTAGATATACTAGATAATATCTCATATGTTTTAATGTCAAATTCTTAGGTATGCATGTCCCAATGCATGCAAGATAGCAATAGACTATTTTACAGCATGTTGAATGTGAAGAATGAATTGTAGTACTTTAAATGTCTTAAATTTATATTGAATATTGCAGCCTTTCCATTATGGATTCAGGCAATCCTTGTAATTTCAGTTGAAATATATACATATATAGAATAAAGGACTTTTGTTTTTGATACTGACTCTATCATGGTAAATTATCAGGTGAGTCCTTTATTGTGTCAAATTACAACAGATCACATTTTCTGTTTAATAAAGTTTGTTTTAAATTTTGTCACAAATGAAGTAAACATGGAGTTCCCTTGCACAAAGAAATGAAAAATTGATCAGTCTTGGATATGTTTCATAATTTCTGCTTTGAACTTGTCTAAAACAATGCAGAAAACATGGTAACATACAAGTAGGTCTAATATCCATAATATTCAACATGTTTTATGACATGTTGAGACCCAAAAAGTGAAAAAGTGAAAAAAAGCCATTTATTTCAACCTAGACCAGGATTATGAAATGTTGAAGGCTCCAGGGTAAACTGTTTGTACTTTAAATAGTTTATAGATAGTTCTTTCATTGACAATCATACCACATAAACTCATTTTTATTTGGTTATCACACAAGCATTATAGAATGCATGTGTATTTCATATTTTTTGCTTTATAGCTTCTCTCATGAGATGGCTGCACCTTTCCAGTTACTATTTATGTGTTGCATCTAAATATGAATTGTAACACTTTATAGTGACTGAAGAGGTTAAACAAATCCTTCTCAAGAAACAGAAAAAGAAGATGCACCAGCTGACTAAACAGTTCTGCTTATAAATGAAAACTCTACAAAAAGAGCTATAGAAAACACCGCATATATCACTGTGAGTACACATCATAGGAAAAATAAACAAAATACCAATAAATATATATATATATATAACGTCCTCCCCAAACGGGACTGGAACCTGTACTTTTCACTTCTAACTTCTACGACAACACCGCCTAGCATTGCACAGACACTTATCCCCTCCTCTATCAGTAGGTGACAAAAATAAGCTTTCATATATAAAATATTAAAAAATATATATTAGTAAAAATGGTCAAGAAATTCGATCATTAGAATTTGATATTTCCTATAGTCATATAAAAGAAATGCTTCACTATTTTTTTCCAAATTTCAGAATGCAAAGTCCTCATCTGTGATTTTCACAGAGAACAGGCCTGGAGTAGGTGGCTGAAGGCTTATAGGCATGGCCTTCAAAACTGTAAAGACGATGTGATAGCTATCCTAAGGAGAGTAGCCAGGGCCAAAAATGAGGATGAATACCAGCTGTCTATGACCAACCTAAAATCCAGCATTTATTGGCAAAATCATAAAGAATTTCGAGATTGGTTTACAAATACATGGCTAAAGAATGTGAAGGTAAAAAGAAATTATTGAATGAATCAAAACATTACAGATTAATTAGAATTTCACATTTAAGTCAACTCATTATGCCCCTTTTATAGTCAGAGCTTTCATAGAGAAAACTTTCAGAGTCTAATATACATAAAAATTTTGCAACCAAATTATATAAAATGACTATTTTTTCCTCACATGTTGGAACTTGTTATCAATATGTTAATTCCTTTGTTATTGCAGATGTGGTCATGGTTGTTTAGACAGGAACGCCTTAATGTAAAAATAAACACAAATAATGGTGTCGAAAGACAGAATCGCACCTTCAAGTATGACTTCCTTACTAGATTCACAGACAGAACACTGACTGGAATGCTGACAACTGTAATCAAGAGATTTTTACCAGATCAATATAGAAGGTAATTAAAATAGACTTTCAAGACATTATAATTATTAGGACTTATAATATGGTTGACTATCTCAGTAACCTGGCAGTAGGTTCTACACTTATATATAACCATACAACACTTGTTCTCAGTAAAACAAAACTCATATAACATGGTTGACTATCTCTCATGTTCACACAGGTTATGGAGGTTAGTATGGACATTAGACTAACTTCAGTAACCTGGCAGTAGGTTCTCCACTGATATATAACTGTACAACACTTGTTCTCAGTAAAACAACACCCATATAATATGGTTTACTATCTCTCATGTATAAACAGGTTATGAAGGTTAGTATAGACATAAGACTAACTTCACTAACCTGGCAGTAGGTTCTACACTGATATATAATCATACAACACTTGTTCTCAGTAAAACATCAATCATATAACATGGTTGACTATCTCTCATGTATAAACAGGTTATTGAGGTTAGTACAGTCATAAGACTAACTTCAGTAACCTGGCAGTAGGTTCTCAACTGATATATTACCATAAAACACTTGTTCTCAGTAAAACAACACTCACATAACATGGTTTACTATCTCTCATGTTCACACAGGTTATATACGATAGTATAGACATTACACTAACTTCAGTTACCTGGCAGTATGTTCTCCACTGATATATAACCATAAAACACTTGTTCTAAGTAAAACAATACTCATATTACATGGTTGACTAACTCTCATATTCAAAAAGGTTATGGAGGTAAGTATGGACATTAGACTAACTTCAGTAACCTGGCAGTAGGTTCTCCACTGATATATAACTGTACAACACTTGTTCTCAGTAAAAAAAACACTCATATAACATGGTTGACTATCTCTCATGTATAAACAGGTTATCGAGGTAAGTACAGACATAAGACTAACTTCAGTAACCTGGCAGTAGGTTCTCCACTGATATATAACTGTACAACACTTGTTCTCAGTAAAACAACACTCTTATAACATGGTTTACTAACTCTCATATTCAAACAAGTTATGGAGGTTTGTATGGACATTCGACTAACTTCGAAACCTGGCAGTAGGTTCTCCACTGATATATAACCACACAACACTTGTTCTCCGTAAAACAACACTCATATAACATGGTTGACTATCTCTCATGTATAAACAGGTTATGGAGGTTAGTATAGACATAAGACTAACTTCAGTAACCTGGCAGTAGGTTCTACACTGATATATAATCATACAACACTTGTTCTCAGTAAAAACATCAATCATATAACATGGTTGACTATCTCTCATGTATAAACAGGTTATTGAGGTTAGTACAGACATAAGACTAACTTCAGTAACCTGGCAGTAGGTTCTCAACTGATATATTACCATAAAACACTTGTTCTCAGTAAAACAACACTCACATAACATGGTTTACTATCTCTCATGTTCACACAGGTTATATAGGATTGTATAGACATTAGACTAACTTCAGTTACCTGGCAGTATGTTCTCCACTGATATATAACCATAAAACACTTGTTCTCCGTAAAACAACACTCATATAACATGGTTGACTATCTCTCATGTATAAACAGGTTATGGGGGTTAGTATAGACATTAGACTAACTTCAGTAACCTGGCATTAGGTTCTCCACTGATTTATAACTGTACAACACTTGTTCTCCGTAAAACATCACTCATATAACATGGTTGACTATCTCTCATGTATAAACAGGTTATGGAGGTTAGTATAGACATAAGACTAACTTCAGTAACCTTGCAGTAGGTTCTCCACTGATATATAACTGTACAACACTTGTTCTCAGTAAAAAAACACTCACCTAACATGGTTTACTTTCTCTCATGTTCACACAGGTTATATAGGTTAGTATAGACATTAGACTAACTTCAGTAACCTGGCAGTAGGTTCTCCACTGATATATAACTGTACAACACTTGTTCTCAGTAAAACAACACTCATATAACATGGTTCACTATCTCTCATGTATAAACAGGTTATCAAGGTTAGTACAGACATAAGACTAACTTCAGTAACCTGGCAGTAGGTTCTCCACTGATATATTACTGTACAACACTTGTTCTCAGTAAAACAACACTCATATAACATGGTTGACTATCTCTCATGTATAAACAGGTTATGGAGGTTAGTATAGACATAAGACTAACTTCAGTAACCTGGCAGTAGGTTCTACACTGATATATAATCATACAACACTTGTTCTCAGTAAAAACATCAATCATATAACATGGTTGACTATCTCTCATGTATAAACAGGTTATCAAGGTTAGTACAGACATAAGACTAACTTCAGTAACCTGGCAGTAGGTTCTCCACTGATATATTACTGTACAACACTTGTTCTCAGTAAAACAACACTCATATAACATGGTTGACTATCTCTCATGTATAAACAGGTTATGGAGGTTAGTATAGACATAAGACTAACTTCAGTAACCTGGCAGTAGGTTCTACACTGATATATAATCATACAACACTTGTTCTCAGTAAAAACATCAATCATATAACATGGTTGACTATCTCTCATGTATAAACAGGTTATTGAGGTTAGTACAGACATAAGACTAACTTCAGTAACCTGGCAGTAGGTTCTCAACTGATATATTACCATAAAACACTTGTTCTCAGTAAAACAACACTCACATAACATGGTTTACTATCTCTCATGTTCACACAGGTTATATAGGATTGTATAGACATTAGACTAACTTCAGTTACCTGGCAGTATGTTCTCCACTGATATATAACCATAAAACACTTGTTCTCCGTAAAACAACACTCATATAACATGGTTGACTATCTCTCATGTATTAATAGGTTATGGGGGTTAGTATAGACATTAGACTAACTTCAGTAACCTGGCATTAGGTTCTCCACTGATTTATAACTGTACAACACTTGTTCTCCGTAAAACATCACTCATATAACATGGTTGACTATCTCTCATGTATAAACAGGTTATGGAGGTTAGTATAGACATAAGACTAACTTCAGTAACCTTGCAGTAGGTTCTCCACTGATATATAACTGTACAACACTTGTTCTCAGTAAAAAAACACTCACCTAACATGGTTTACTTTCTCTCATGTTCACACAGGTTATATAGGTTAGTATAGACATTAGACTAACTTCAGTAACCTGGCAGTAGGTTTTCCACTGATATATAACTGTACAACACTTGTTTTCAGTAAAACAACACTCATATAACATGGTTGACTATCTCTCATGTATAAACAGGTTATCGAGGTTAGTACAGACATAAGACTAACTTCAGTAACCTGGCAGTAGGTTCTCCACTGATAAATTACTGTACAACACTTGTTCTCCGTAAAACAACACTCATATAACATGGTTGACTATCTCTCATGTATAAACAGGTTATCGAGGTTAGTACAGACATAAGACTAACTTCAGTAAACTGGCAGTAGGTTCTCCACTGATATATAACTGTACAACACTTGTTCTCAGTAAAACAACACTCACCTAACATGATTTACTTTCTCTCATGTTCACACAGATTATCGAGGTTAGTACAGACATAAGACTAACTTCAGTAACCTGGCAGTAGGTTCTCCACTGATATATAACCATAAAACACTTGTTCTCAGTAAAACAACACTCTTATAACATGATTTACTAACTCTCATATTCAAACAAGTTATGGAGGTTAGTATGGACATTAGACTAACTTCAGTAACCTGGCAGTAGGTTCTCCACTGATATATAACCATAAAACACTTGTTCTCAGTAAAACAACACTCTTATAACATGATTTACTAACTCTCATATTCAAACAAGTTATGGAGGTTAGTATGGACATTAGACTAACTTCAGTAACCTGGCAGTAGGTTCTCCACTGATATATACTAATAACCACACAACACTTGTTCTCCGTAAAACAACACTCACATAACATGGTTGACTATCTCTCATGTATAAACAGGTTATCGAGGTCAGTATAGACATAAGACTTACTTCAGTAACCTGGCAGTAGGTTCTACACTGATATATAACCATACAACACTTGTTCTCAGTAAAACATCAATCATATAACATGGTTGACTATCTCTCGTGTATAAACTGGTTATCGAGGTTAGTACAGACATAAGACTAACTTCAGTAACCTGGCAGTAGGTTCTCCACTGATATGTAACCATACAACACTTGTTCTCAGTAAAACAACACTTTTCTAACATGGTTGATTATCCCTTATGTATAAACAAGTTATGGAGATTAGTACAGACATTTATGCTCTTTGTCTTGTAATGCATATTTTTTTGTAGTTATATCTCAAGCAACCTGAAGTCATCCAACCAGTTTAAGGCCTACAATGTAGCCTTGCCACATTTCCTTCACAACAGGCCAAAGGATTTCATTGATCATTGTAGATCTCGAATTAGATCACGGGAGGAAGTTGAAGGAAAGATGATAAAAAATGAAACATCATATACAGTAGAAAGTCTTTCAAAGCCGAATGTAAAATACAATATATTTCTTGGGGATGACACTGAAGTCCCATCTTGTCAGTGTCAAGACTGGAATTCAACCCACTGGCCTTGTAAACATATTCTGGCAGTGGTACTGCATCATCCAGATTCATCTTGGGAACACGTGGCTGGGCATTATCGTGAAAACCCACTCTTCACCATTGATGAGCTATGCTACCAAGATGTTGGACTTCACAATTTTAATGAAGTTGTTGATTCAAATGCAGATGATACTGTTTTTGAAAACATTACAAAACAAGAAGTTTCTGATGAAACAGATGTACATGTAGATTGTAAGAATTGGGGAATAGTGATTAGGGAGGAAATTGAAAAAATTAAAACACTTAGTTACATGGATATTCCAAATGGAATTTTGAGGCAAACAGTATCAAATCTTCAAACAATCAGGAAAGAATTAGACCAGGCAGCTCCATCTGAGTGTAACCTGCCTGTGTTACAGAATAATATAAGTGTTAAATCAGCCACTACAGCGCCATTCAGAATAACATCTTCAAAAGCTAAATTGGGTAACTACTTACAAAATTAACGCTTTACTCATCCAATATTGTAAATTGTGTTTTTGATCTTTATCAATCTCTAATGTTATATGTTTCTTTTATTGTGTTTCAAAATTAGTTTCAAAAAGAGCTGAATATATTCTCTCTTTTAATTATGTAATAAAAACATTATTAGAGCACATCAAAGAGGATTTTGACACCTTATAGTTTTCACTTTGTCTTTGAAAAACAAGACGTATTATGGTATACCAATGTCCGTCCGTCTGTCTGTACATCAACACTTCATACCATAACTTGAATTTGCTTTAACCAATTCTGAGTTCTAGAGTTACAGAACTTTAACTGTTACATTTAAGACATTTTTTTCACAATTTACGCACTAACTCCCATATTCTTGAATTTATTTCCTCCAAACTTAATATTATTGCGAGAATTTAATGAAATGAATCTCCCTTTTGATTTCATAAATTTTCTAGTTTGTTGCTCCAGAGTAACAGAACTTTGATTTTAAGATTTTAATATTTTTTTTACATATTGTACCATAACAGGGTATGCTTGGATTGATTTAGTGTAAACTTTACCTACTTTTTTGTGAATTGGTGAACATAACTAACTGTCGTTTATAAGAAAACAGTATCTTCAGGCATGTTTCTCTACAGATCCATTTTATTGGCTTATGATTAAAAGCCTTGGAAATATCCGATTTTATTCTTGCAACAATTTCAATATTCACAATAAGGGCATATCATGTGCTCCTATTGCAGCTGTTTATTGTTATTGTCTATGCCAATTCTAAGATATTCATCCGAGTGGTATGATACTTTTATTACTTTTGATACATTATATAAAGTTGAACATATTGTTTTGTCATGAAAATGAAAAAATAAATATTTCTTTGTTTCTTAATGGAAAATTAAAAATTTGAAAATTGATTTGAAAATTTGCAGGTTTGAGATCTAAAAAAAAACAAACAGTTTTTAAGGAACTGCCTTTGAGAAGAAGAAAGACAGCAAGAAGACCATTTATTGAAAATGACTTGAAAGGTAGGAATTTAACACACTTTATTCAGCAAAAATCAGTTAACAAGTAATTACTTCAAAACATTATTTCAAAATAAGAGTGACCATAAATTTGAAATATGGTTTATACTTAAAATCCTGATTGTGATGGAAAAAACAGTCCTGAGAATATAATGTTACTTGTTATTACTGTTAGCTTTAGAAAACAGCTTTTAAAGACCTGCTGATTTATTACAAAGCAAAAGTTAAGTAAATACAGTATTTCATTTGAAATGTTATTCCAGAGTTCAATATATCATTTCAATTTTTGTTCTCAGATCCACAGCCTTTTAGTAAACAAACTATTGATGAAATTATATCAGGGACTGCGATTCTGGAACAGACTGAAGCTAGTAAGTGAGAAATTATTAATAAAAAATCAATAAACGATGAGGAAATAGTTTTACCTATCTTAAAATGTACACAAATAGTTTACAAAAAGATTGCAAAAATAGATAAATTTTGAAAAAAAAAGGTTTCACATGCTATTTTGTGGAAAATGAAAATTTGTGACACTGCTATGTTTACTTTGTTGTCAATGTTTATTTTTATTCCTGTAAATGATTTAACTAATGCTTCATGTCAGTAGGGAATAAGTATATAGGTAACAATGCTTCAATGAATGCTTGAGTTTATGTATATGAGTTTGTTGAAGTCATCAAAATCAATAACCCCACTTAACTAATAATTTCTTTTAGCATCTGATTTGACAGATCATAGGAAACAAACACCGAAAGCGAAGTTCAAAGTCCTAGACCTGTTAAATATTGTCATGGGTAAGATAGATAAGTTTCAACAGTACATCGACTTATGATTTTATGAAACTGTGTGAAAGGTGATAGTTTTTGTTCATTTTATAAATAGTTTCATTACCTGTATAGCAACAAAAGCCTAGTAATTGCTGTTTTTAAATGTGATCTTTAAAATTGATTATAAGTTGGCTAAAAATGTTGTTGATTAGTTTGGTATGTGCAAACTACAAAACCAAGAATTTAACAATTAATCTAGCAACCAAATAATAAGTACTTAATTAGAAAATATATTCATTGTGGCTAGGTTTAGATGTTTGTATTAAATAATGAAACATTCTAATGTATGCACTTCATATTGTGACTGATATCTGTAAAATCATACTTTCCTGGTCTATAACTTAGTGTTAAAGTCTTATTTCTGTAAAAACAGTGTTGTATTTGAAGAGTGTTTTGTGTGAAATGGGGATTTGTTGGTAACAAATGCAGTTTTGCTGGTGCCATGCAGTGTTGACAGTAAAACCTACGTTTGCTACAGTCATATCACCAATTGACACCAACAACGCTTAAACTAAAGTACTGTTATTCATATTCCAATACATTGCAAAGTAAAATGCTGTTGCGCTCTTCAACTGATATGATATTCAAATAAGATTACAGGCAAGGATATACCTTTGTAAAATTTTGCTTTTTTATGCAATAATGCAAATTTTGTTTATACAATGAACATTTGCAAAGCAGAACTTCAACATGGAAGGTTGTTTTGATACTTCCAGGCTTGAAATATGGATTAAATCTCAATAAAATAATGTATAAAAGGTAGGTAGTGCTCAATGTTGTTGGTTTTTTTTATTGAACATTTAGGATTTGGAGAATAAAATATGGCAGTTCAATAGGAATTAAACCCTTAGTTACAGCAGGTCAACTGTGGATTTGATGGTAAATATTAGCCAATGAAATAACCTTGAATACATCAAAACTGCATATGAATAGTAATTGCCCATCTGTTAAATATGATAATTTTTCAGAAATCTTACTGTAAGAAAAACATAAGAAAAACTTATTTATCTATGAATTATTATTGCAGAGTATCTGAATACTGTTGATGATAAAGTATTTGAAAAATGGGTAAAAGATGCTGTATCTTCAAGTCATGTTACATTGGACTTGAGTTCCAGACTTGGGCCAGCTGTCATAGATCTATACACAAATTCAGAAGATGAGCATGTCCACACCATCAAAAGTTTGTGTGATTTAGCACCAGACCGTTTACACGAAGCAGCAAAATTTAGACTTACAAATCTTATTTTAGGACATTTAGGTAAGTTTATTATTCCCTTTGCAATAAAGGCAACAGTAGTATACCGCTGTTCGAAAACTCATAAATCGATAGAGATAAAAACAAATCCGGGTTACAAACTAAAACTAAGGGAAATGCATCAAATATAAGAGATGAACAACGACACAACAAAAACACAACATTAAAATGTAACACACACAGAAACGAACTATAATATAACAATGGCCATTTTCCTGACTTGGTACAGGACATTTTAAGAAAAAAATGGTGGGTTGAACCTGGTTTTGTGGCATGCCAACCTTGTGAAGGGATATAGTAAAACCTTTGTCTGTTTGTCCATGTGTCTGTCTTGTAGGCACTATAGGGTTGAAGTCTTACATCCAGTCCACACCAAACTTGGTACAATAGTTTCCCATAAGGAAAGGTACACTGACAAATTGAATGTTCAATGGTGTTATTAACCTTATGTATTATGGAGTTAAAAGTAATGTCTAGATTACTGGAAATTCAGAAATTAATGCATGCATTTATTATTTTGAATCACTGACTTCTGGTAAAATGAAATCTACTTAATGCTATTATATAATTTTGCAAATCAAAAACACTACTGAAATTGTAAATGCAAGTTTTTATTATTGCAAACCTGATACTGTTGACCTTTTTCATTAAATTATAAACATTGCAATGATTTCTTATCTCGATTTCAAATATTTATAAAAATTTATATCCCTTTCAGACAGGGCCTCTTGAATCTTTTCGCATCATGTTCTAATGTAATGCAAAGACTAAGTGTGTTCTTTCTAATTATTTATCTGTTCTTATTGTAATTTTTGGTTAGTCCCACATCTATGTCTTCCAGTTCCTGTCTTCAATTACATTTTTAAGATGATTGACATCTAGAATGAATGTGGCTTAAACTGGTTCTAGGAGTTGTCTTGAAATTGCATGGGGTGTGAGTTGTTGCTTGAAGAGTAAAAGGTGACCGCCACAATTATAGCCAATAGTGCTTAAAGTGGTGCTAAACTCCAACAGTCAGCATTGACAGAATACAATCTACAGTTTAAACAATACCTACTTTGTTCCAGAGCCTTTAATAAAAATGAAGTTATTCCTAATGCATATTGATCACATTATAGCAATCAGGACTTGGAGAGACTTTATAAGTGCGATATATAAATGTAATTAATTCAGTAATTAAACACTTTATTTAGTGGAAAAAGGAAATATAACATTGCCAAAAGAAAAAGACCCCAGAGTTCTGCAAGCAGAAATAGACGAAAGCATGAAAGAGCTTATTGCTGGCATTAAAACCCAAGAAGAAATGAAAAATGGTACATGTATTGTATTACAAAATTAATTAGTGATTTCACATTAGTTTCACTGTTTTATTAAAGTTCTTATTAATGAAACTCATTCTCTACCACAAATTTTTATATTTTAATATCATTGCATTGTAATTATGCCAATACTTAATAACTTATAAAATTTCATGAATTCCTTAGAAATTGTGAAATTTGGCTCAAAGACATTGTAGCATTTTATTTGTGAATAACTTGATTCAAATGTACAAATAATGTTTTAATACTTGAATACCTTTACCATCCCATTAAATAATGTGGATTGTATTTTACATAAGGTTGTGGGGTATATTTGGCACTTGTGTAATTATATTGTATTAGGATTTTCTGTGTTTTGTATACGTTCAACCATTTTCATTTAAATTTATAGGTGGACAAGTGTTTAAAAGAAAGATGAAAACATTAAACATTACAAATACTGGAAAAAAGGCAAGAATAGAAACAGAAGGTAAGATTTTATAACACTCCTATAATTCTCCCCCCCCCCCCCCCCCCCCCCCCCCCCCCAAAAAAAAATACTCAAGATTACCTGACCTGTTTACTCAAAAAGAACGATTAGGAAAGAAAATAGTGACAAGAAATTTTATAACAATGTTATATGGTATTGTGAAGTTCTAGTCTGTATGTGGAATTTTGTTTCCATTTGATAACTTTTATTTTAGTCAATTGGTCTCTCAGAAATTTGAACACAATCATTCTTTTCACAAAAGCAAAGTAGGGATTGAAAATATGGGATTTGTAAAAAAGGGGGCCAAATAATATAGTAACAACCATGAACAATATTTTATAATTCACCCTGCTAGTTGACCAGCCAAAAAGAATTGACTACAAACATATGTAATATACAGTCCGTGACCCAGCAAAGCTTTATTATTGATGTTTTTCCTAACAATACAAAAGGTAAAACTATGGGTTCCTGATATCCAGCATATTAAACCAGTTGGGATACAGACCTCTTGAAATGTTTAGTTAATTTTTTGCTGATTATATATCATATGACTTTCAGGAACTTTGGTATCAAAGGCTAGCAAAATTAAATGGATGGATGGTTTTATGACAGACTTGACAGTCACAGAAATTGATAAACAAAAAGGTTTGCCATCTAATATTTCAAATATGATAAAATTTAAGATGTACTGTATGTCATTAAAAACTCGTTTAAGTATCTTTGACACCTTTAAACTTAATTTTCTGCTTTTTTTACAAAACAATCATTAAAAAAGTATATAAATTATATGTACACTACTCTATTCATTCATCAGTATGATAAAGCATAGTTAAAAGAACAGTTGTAAAAAACAAAGTAATACCAATTGAATCTATAAATGCAGTTATTTTTTCAGTTGAAAATAAAGTTGCAAAGATTTGGGACGAAGATATGGCCAACAAATATTTCATTGCCAAGGTTTTTGGTATTGATATAACATATGGAGACATAAACTCTCTCAAAGACTCAAACTGGCTCACAGACAAAGTAAGTCAATGTATTCAACTAATAATCCATACACATAATATTCTCTTCTGTAAAAATCTCTTCAACACTGAGTATTTGTTTTGTTTTTATACATGCATGCTTTCATTGTGAAATTTTTATTATTTCTAAGAACATCCATAAAATACTCTATAAATTACATGACTTCCTAAATATGTCTTAAAGAAGAACCCAAACCAAACTTTAAAATGAATATATGTATTTCTTTAAAAAGAAAACTTTAAGAACTTGATATCATTACTGATTTTTTTCTTTATGGTGACAGCAAAGTAAAATGACCAAGAAACTGCATCATTATTACATTTGATTTATGAATTCAACTGTTGAATTTTCTAAAAGTATGTCATATTTCCATGTCTTCAAATTGTTTTAAGAAAACCAGTTTTTCTTTTGATGAATATGCAATGTGGTATTTCATTGAAATATAACATTGAAGAATGGCATTGTTTTGTCAATTAAGGTCATGGATGCATACCTGACATATATTGCCCAAACTGAGATGGACAAGGGAAACATTAAAGTTAGACACCAGTTGGTCAGCAGCACAAACAACATAATTAATGGAAGATATGTCCCTGGACGACATGAAAAGGTAAACATCCTGTCACCAAAAAAAAAAACATATAAATTAGAAATTTTGCATAAAAGAGTAACATTTCTATGATAGCCATTTTAGAAATTTTCTTAATACTATTAAGGGTAATTGTAAATAATGCTTACTAGGTTCATTCTGAATTGTCAACGTTTAGTACAGGGATAAAAAAATTTACCAGTAGCAAGATAGACCATTTTATTAAAAGCAAATAATAAATATTGTCTAGCCCTGAATTCCATTATGTTTAGGGAAGAAATTCATTTTTTTTACAATTTTAGGAAAGATTAAAATTATTAGTTCTAATAATAACTCTGTAATTTCAGAACAAATTAATCCCATACGACTTTGTCATTGGAGCCTACCATGAGAGAGGAGGTCATTGGGATTTGCTGGTAATCATTGCTATGGTGTATTTATTTTTCGTTTGTATGATTATATTTGTCTAAAAAAAATAATAAAAAAACTTAAACACTGTATGTATTAGTACTTCTTATGAACACCAAAAAGGTGGAAATACAGATTAAATTAACAAAAACATCTTCATTTACCATATTGTAAAAAAAATATATTGTTCTTAAGTTGTCTCATTAAAGACCGTGAACTAAAACATAAACCCAACAACATAATTATTGCATGTATGAATAAAAAATTTCATGAAATTGATTCCATTTCTCATTTTATCACCAACTGTCATCTATCCAATTTGGAATTTTGTTAGTGAATTTTAGCATAACTTCATTTTACCAAACACATGCAAATGTACTTGCAATAATTATTTTCAGAAACAGCTATAATGGAGTTTTGGTCAACAGAGGGCTGTGTATAGGAAAATTGTCCAAAAATTACAATTCCCTCTTATATGAAAATAGAAGATGTATAAACTTCAGCACATCAAATTTTTTTTTGTGAACATATTTAGGAACTTTCCAATTTAACTTGGATGAATCAGATTCACAAAAAGAGGATGCAGCAAGTCCCTTGTTTCCCTGTTCAACTTGTACTTTTCATCTGTGACACCTTTTTCCAAAATGCAACCCTGTCAAAATGATTTTGACAGAGCTAATACAATTGTTACAGTTAATATTTCATAATATTTTCTGAATCAATTTGCTAGTGAATGACAATATTTGCTCAAAGGACCAAAACCAAAAGGGATTGCATTTTGAATGTCATAAGACATGGCAAGACTGTTGTATTAGTTTTGTTGCCTTTACTTCATACCAGAACAATATAATACTTAATACTTTTTTTTTCAGATTGTTGAACCATCAAAGGGAAAGGTTGTTTTTCTCAACCCTTTGGGAGAAACAGCATACCAAAAGAGAACAGTTCTTTTACATTGGAGGTAAGCTAACTTATCCAGTTAGAAATTTTATATTTATAGCAAAGATGATACCTGCTGACTTATCCTGCAATGGAGTGCAAAAGGAGTCAAATCCTAGATATTTAGTGAGTGAACTGTTCACAAAGTTCTTTTATAAATCTGGTACAGTGATTGAAATAAAATATATTACATTGAAATTTATGTCACTGCAAGATTTTATGCTGATATTTATTGGTACATGTCTGTTTTGTGGTGTTTAATGTGTCTGGAATACTTAGCATGTAACTCAAATAATATTTTTTCTCAGAAAATACATAGGACAGATGCTACTTCTTCATCCAGAGAATGGGTACAAAAACTGGACACTGGAAGTACCTGACCATTCCAAACAACTAGATGGATCCAGTTGTGGCATCTACTGTCTCTTGGTAAACATTAAAATTAATGAATTAAGTTTAAACTGAAAACAGATAATAATCCTTACTCCTTGAGAGGTGTCACTCAAGGTAATCTGATAGTTCCTAAGCCAAAAGCTGAGCTATTTAAGAAATCTTTTGTTTATTCTGGATCAGTGTTATGGAATGGACTACCACACAAAATGCGTAAAGCTCAAAACACTTATACTTTTAAACAAAGTATCAAGAAGTACTTTTACACAGTCCTGATAAGATTATGTTTTCTACAATGTATTTGTATATTTTTTATTTTATTTGATTTTTTGACTACATGTACATCTTGAACAGCTTTATATCTTATCATGTTAATAATATTACATTGAACTACTTGACTGAACAATTAACTATGTGTAAATATCTGTTTTTGATTGTATTGTAATTTGTATGTGAGGGCCTCAGGGAAGATTAGTTTATTGTAACTAACTGAGTTTACCCTCTTTAAATAAAGAATTTATTATTATTATTATTATTATTACATAATGGTCATTTCATCAATCAACGAGTGTTACAAAATAACATATAAACACTTCATCTGTGCATTGAGGTAATGGTAATACACAAACATTGTATAAGCTTTAAATGCTTCCACTAAAAAATCCATACAAAACTCTGCAAATATATACTACATAACTTTATTTTTTTAATTACCCCATCATTATTTCCTTTAGCGGGACTTGTACAGATTATTTATTGACACAAAAATGGTGTAACACTATGATCAAAACAACACATGATTGTTGGTCTGATTTATTGTTTGGTAAATTGCTATGAACTTAATGTCACTATTTTTATTTAATGTTTCTAACTATTGCAGTTTGCTGAGAAATATCTTGCTGGAGAATCTCTGCTTGGTATTACCCAAGAAGAAGTAAATAATAAAAGAGCAGATATAGCACACACATTGATGATGTTTGAAGGTAATATAAAAATTAATAACTGTATAAATAAATACTGAACATACTAAGAAATATATTAATTACAATATTTTTACCCTCTCAATTACATATTTAATCCATTAGTGGGATGATTATTCCCATTGTTGAATACCACAACACTGAAAGAGAAATTATGTTTTGCATTTGCGTATTGTGTGAAGATGCATTTGCGTATCAATGTTTCAATTGAGTTTACCACATATATCCTTTCAGTATAACATATTTTTAAGGAGTATCTTAGGTATTATTTTTGATAATAATAATAAGTGCTTGTCATATTTTTTATATCTCACAGATTTTTATAAACTCCTTTCTTTACAGGACACATGGCGGGATGCTGTCCATGCTGTGGATTTCAAACAAATGTTAATGAAGAACAATTGGTAATCATTTATACTCTATATATTCTATTTTGTATTCCTAATCTTGTCTGAGCTTTCAAATTTCTCATGCATAGAGATCAACAGAATCGTGCATTTAAAGGACATGTGACCTGTCCTTGATGTAATTTTTATTGGTATTAACTTATTACGTTTCATACATTATAGGATTAAACACCGCTTTAAAGGAATTTGTTGGTGTATAAACTGGACCTAGTCACAAACAAATAAAAGTCTTTAAGGACTTTTATGATATGTTTGTGAATGACCTAGTCCAGTTCATACAAATGTAGGATTAATTTTCTACAACTGTCAAATTCAAGGGAATATTTTTTAAACCGTTTTTCGTTTGAAACTGGATGTGATGTACTATGATTTGGGGGTAATACACCTGCAAGGCGATATTTGGAAATCCAAATAGGAAAAAAATTGAGCATTGTAATTTTAGAGGTAAAATCTGTTCTGGTAAGCCAATATCAACTGATAAAGGTTTCCAGTACCTGAATGTTAGAATATATATTTTTTTAAATGATTAAATAACTTTCAGAGAAACTATGGCATGTTTTAAATAACAATGCAATGAAAGTGTGATAAATTTTTTTTTTAACAAAAGCTCTTATATACTTTTTTTTTTAAAGACACATTACTTAAAGGCTTTAAATTAAATTACTTGAACTTTATATTTTACAGATTCAATGCACAATATGCAAGAACTGGTTTCACAAAAAAACCCATTGTGTTGGTGAGGCTTTTGCAGCTAAAACCAGTAATGAAGAATTTGTGTGTGAGATAGACAGAACAACTGAAAAAGAATGAGTTAGATGAATGAGTCAATGTCAAATGAAAGCAACTTAATCAAGTTATTTTTTGAAATTTTGTTTTATTTTAATGAGTACACATGTTTGTATGGTTACCATATAAAGTTGTCTTTTATACACAGACTTTTATCTCAGAAGCAAATACTCCAGCCAGGGATGCATATTATACAATAATACGGGCACAAAATGAGATCACCATTTTTTCTTTAAAAAAGTAGAGGGTGCTCTAATTTGTTCAGTTTTTTCTTCTTCAAATCACTGTATTTGAAAGCTGTATCTCTTATTTTTCGACTTTAAATCCTTCAAATATTTAGTTTTTCGATAAATTACATTACCGATTTACTTTAATATAGAACAATGTGTAAAATAGTTCGGGAAATTTTCGTACTTGCACTGAACTTGATTTAGAATTAAACTTATATTTTTTACTTCTTGCTTATTGAAAAATAGGATTTTACATTTGAATAAAGACAAATTTTACTAATTTTCAATACTGGTATTAATGATGAGTTTATTTAACCTTGAAGGATTTTAGAATTTTTTTTTTTACAATTTCTAACAGGTCTGTACAATTTTTTATTCCTGGAAATTTGGCATACAAAATATGCTAGACCTGTAACTACTGGATGTTCAAACAACTAAGAAGAAAAGTCATTTTTCCAGAATTTTTGAGGCAGGATGGGGTTGGCTATAATGTCAATAAATGTGTGTATTGTAAACAATGTTCTATATTCTTAATCAGTGAGGAACCTACTGCCAGGTTACTGAAGTTAGTCTAATGTCTATACTAACCTCCATAACCTGTTTATACATAAGAGATAGTAAACCATGTTATATGAGTGTTGTTTTACTTAGAACAAGTGTTGTGTGGTTATATATCAGTGTAGAACATACTGCCAGGTTACTGAAGTTAGTCTAATGTCTATACTAACCTCCATAACCTGTGTATTCATGAGAGATAGTCAACCATGTTATATGAGTTTTGTTTTTCTGAGAACAAGTGTTTTGTGGTTATATATGAGTGTAGAACCTACTGCCAGGTTACTGAAGTTAGTCTTGTGTCTGTACTAACCCCCCATAACCTATTTATACATGAGAGATAGTCAACCATGTTATATGGGTGTTGTTTTACTGAGAACAAGTGTTGTGTGGTTATATATCAGTGTAGAACGTACTGCCAGGTTACTGAAGTTAGTCTAATGTCTATACTAACCTCCATAACCTGTTTATACATGAGAGATAGTCAACCATGTTTTATGAGTTTTGTTTTTTTGAGAACAAGTGTTTTGTGGTTATATATGAGTGTAGAACCTACTGCCAGGTTACTGAAGTTAGTCTAATGTCTATACTAACCTCCATAACCTGTGTATACATGAGATATAGTCAACCATGTTATATGAGTGTTGTTTTACTAAGAACGTGTGTTGTACAGTTATATATCAGTGAAGAACCTACTGCAAGGTTACTGAAGTTAGTCTAATGTCTATACTAACCTCCATAACCTGTTTATACATGAGAGATAGTCAACCATGTTTTATGAGTTTTGTTTTTTTGAGAACAAGTGTTTTGTGGTTATATATGAGTGTAGAACCTACTGCCAGGTTACTGAAGTTAGTCTAATGTCTATACTAACCTCCATAACCTGTGTATACTTGAGAGATAGTAAACCATGTTATATGAGTGTTGTTTTACTGAGAACAAGTGTTGTACACTTATATATCAGTGAATAACCTACTGCCAGGTTACTGAAGTTAGTATAATGTCTATACTAACCTCCATAACCTGTTTATACATAAGAGATAGTAAACCATGTTATATGAGTTTTGTTTTACTGAAAACAAGTGTTGTTTGGTTATATATCAGTGTAGCACCTACTGCCAGGTTACTGACATTAGTCTTGTGTCTGTACTAACACCCATAAACTGTTTATACATGAGAGATAGTCAACCATGTTATATGAGTGTTGTTGTACTAAGAACAAGTGTTGTGTGGTTATATATCAGTGTAGAACATACTGCCAGGTTACTGAAGTTAGTCTTGTGTCTGTACTAACCTCCATAACCTGTGTATACATGAGAGATAGTCAACCATGTTATATGAGTGTTGTTTTACTAAGAACAAGTGTTGTGTGGTTATATATCAGTGTAGAACATACTGCCAGGTTACTGAAGTTAGTCTAATGTCTATACTAACCTTCATAACCTGTGTATACATGAGAGATAGTCAACCATGTTATATGAGTGCTGTTTTACTGAGAACAAAAGTTGTACAGTTATATATCAGTGGAGAACCTACTGCCAGGTTACTGAAGTTAGTCTTATGTCTATACTAACCCCCATAACCTGTTTATACATGAGAGATAGTCAACCATGTTATATGAGTGATGTTTTACAGAGAACAAGTGTTGTACAGTTATATATCAGTGGAGAACCTACTGCCAGGTTACTGAAGTTAGTCTAATGTCTATACTAACCCCCATAACCTGTTTATACATGAGAGATAGTCAACCATGTTATATGAGTGATGTTTTACGGAGAACAAGTGTTGTACAGTTATATATCAGTGAAGAACCTACTGCCAGGTTACTGAAGTTAGTCTTATGTCTATACTAACCTCCATAACCTGTTTATACATGAGAGATAGTAAACCATGTTATATGAGTGTTGTTTTACTTAGAACAAGTGTTGTGTGGTTATATATCAGTGTAGAACATACTGCCAGGTTACTGAAGTTAGTCTAATGTCTATACTAACCTCCATAACCTGTTTATACATGAGAGATAGTCAACCATGTTGTATGAGTTTTGTTTTACTGAGAACAAGTGTTTTGTGGTTATATATGAGTGTAGAACCTACTGCCAGGTTACTGAAGTTAGTCTAATGTCTATACTAACCTCCATAACCTGTGTATACATGAGAGATAGTCAACCATGTTATATGAGTGTTGTTTTACTAAGAACAAGTGTTGTACAGTTATATATCAGTGAAGAACCTATTGCAAGGTTACTGAAGTTAGTCTAATGTCTATACTAACCTCCATAACCTGTTTATACATGAGAGATAGTCGACCATGTGAAATTAGTTTTGTTTTACTGAGAACAAGTGTTGTATTGTTATATATCAGTGTAGAACATACTACCAGGTTAATGAAGTTAGTCTAATGTCTATACTAACCTCCATAACCTGTGAATACATGAGATAGTAAACCATGTTATATGAGTGTTGTTTTACTGAGAACAAGTGTTTTATGGTTATTAATTAGTGTAGAACCTACTGTCAGGTTACTGAAGTTAGTCTAATGTCCATATTAACCTTCATAACCTGTTTATACATGAGAGATAGTAAACCATATTATATGGGTGTTGTTTTACTGAGAACAAGTGTTGTATGGGTATATATCAGTGTAGAACCTACTGCCAGGTTACTGAAGTTAATATAATGTATATACTAACGGCCATAACCTGTATATACGTGAGGGATAGTCAACCATGTAAAATTAGTTTTGTTTTACTGAGAACAAGTGTTGTATGGTTATATATCAGTGTACATTCTACTGCCAGGTTACTGAAGTTAGTCTTATGTCTATACTAACCTCCATAACCTGTGTATACATGAGAGATAGTCAACTATGTTATATGAGTGTTGTTTTACTGAGAACAAATGTTGTACAGTTATATATCAGTGTAGAACCTACTGCCAGGTTACTGAAGTTAGTCTTATGTCTATACTAACCTCCATAACCTGTTTATACATAAGAGATAGTCAACCATGTTATATGAGTGTTGTTTTACTTAGAACAAGTGTTGTGTGGGTATATATCAGTGTAGAACATACTGCCAGGTTACTGAAGTTAGTCTTGTGTCTGTACTAACCCCCATAACCTGTTTATACATGAGAGATAGTCAACCATGTTATATGAGTGTTGTTTTACTAAGAACAAGTGTTCTGTGGTTATATATCAGTGTAGAACATACTGCCAGGTTACTGAAGTTAGTCTAATGTCTATACTAACCTCCATAACCTGTGTATACATGAGAGATAGTCAACCATGTTATATGAGTGCTGTTTTACTGAGAACAAAAGTTGTACAGTTATATATCAGTGAAGAACCTACTGCCAGGTTACTGAAGTTAGTCTTATGTCTATACTAACCTCCATAACCTGTGTATGCATGAGAGATGGTCAACCATGTTATATGAGTGTTGTTTTACTTAGAACAAGTGTTGTGTGGTTATATATCAGTGTAGAACATACTGCCAGGTTACTGAAGTTAGTCTTGTGTCTGTACTAACCCCCATAACCTGTTTATACATGAGAGATAGTCAACCATGTTATATGAGTGTTTTTTTACTAAGAACAAGTGTTGTGTGGTTATATATGAGTGTAGAACCTACTGCCAGGTTACTGAAGTTAGTCTTGTGTCTGTACTAACCTCCATAACCTGTTTATACATGAGAGATAGTCAACCATGTTATATGGGTGTTGTTTTACTGAGAACAAGTGTTGTGTGGTTATATATCAGTGTAGAACGTACTGCCAGGTTACTGAAGTTAGTCTTGTGTCTGTACTAACCCCCATAACCTGTTTATACATATATATCAGTGTAGAACATACTGCCAGGTTACTGAAGTTAGTCTTATGTCTATACTAACCTCCATAACCTGTGTATACATGAGAGATAGTCAACCATGTTATATGAGTGTTGTTTTACTGAGAACAAATGTTGTACAGATATATATCAGTGTAGAACCTACTGCCAGGTTATTGAAGTTAGTCTTATGTCTATACTAACCTCCATAACCTGTTTATACATAAGAGATAGTCAACCATGTTATATGAGTGTTGTTTTACTTAGAACAAGTGTTGTGTGGGTATATATGAGTGTAGAACCTACTGCCAGGTTACTGAAGTTAGTCTTGTGTCTGTACTAACCCCCATAACCTGTTTATACATGAGAGATAGTCAACCATGTTATATGAGTGTTGTTTTACTAAGAACAAGTGTTGTGTGGTTATATATCAGTGTAGAACATACTGCCAGGTTACTGAAGTTAGTCTAATGTCTATACTAACCTCCAGAACCTGTGTATACATGAGAGATAGTCAACCATGTTATATGAGTGTTGTTTTACTGAGAACAAGTGTTGTACAGTTATATATTAGTGAAGAACCTACTGCCAGGTTACTGAAGTTAGTCTTATGTCTATACTAACCGCCATAACCTGTTTATACATGAGAGATAGTCAACCATGTTGTATGAGTTTTGTTTTACTGAGAACAAGTGTTTTGTGGTTATATATGAGTGTAGAACCTACTGCCAGGTTACTGAAGTTAGTCTAATGTCTATACTAACCTCCATAACCTGTGTATACATGAGAGATAGTCAACCATGTTATATGAGTGTTGTTTTACTGAGAACAAATGTTGTACAGATATATATCAGTGTAGAACCTACTGCCAGGTTATTGAAGTTAGTCTTATGTCTATACTAACCTCCATAACCTGTTTATACATAAGAGATAGTCAACCATGTTATATGAGTGTTGTTTTACTTAGAACAAGTGTTGTGTGGGTATATATGAGTGTAGAACCTACTGCCAGGTTACTGAAGTTAGTCTTGTGTCTGTACTAACCCCCATAACCTGTTTATACATGAGAGATAGTCAACCATGTTATATGAGTGTTGTTTTACTAAGAACAAGTGTTGTGTGGTAATATATCAGTGTAGAACATACTGCCAGGTTACTGAAGTTAGTCTAATGTCTATACTAACCTCCATAACCTGTGTATAGATGAGAGATAGTCAACCATGTTATATGAGTGTTGTTTTACTGAGAACAAGTGTTGTACAGTTATATATCAGTGAAGAACCTACTGCCAGGTTACTGAAGTTAGTCTAATGTCTATACTAACCTCCATAACCTGTTTATACATGAGAGATAGTCAACCATGTTGTATGAGTTTTGTTTTACTGAGAACAAGTGTTTTGTGGTTATATATGAGTGTAGAACCTACTGCCAGGTTACTGAAGTTAGTCTAATGTCTATACTAACCTCCATAACCTGTGTATGCATGAGAGATGGTCAACCATGTTATATGAGTGTTGTTTTACTAAGAACAAGTGTTGTGTGGTTATATATCAGTGTAGAACATACTGCCAGGTTACTGAAGTTAGTCTTATGTCTATACTAACCTCCATAACCTGTGTATACATGAGAGATAGTCAACCATGTTATATGAGTGTTGTTTTACTGAGAACAAGTGTTGTACAGTTATATATCAGTGAAGAACCTACTGCCAGGTTACTGAAGTTAGTCTTATGTCTATACTAACCGCCATAACCTGTTTATACATGAGAGATAGTCAACCATGTTGTATGAGTTTTGTTTTACTGAGAACAAGTGTTTTGTGGTTATATATGAGTGTAGAACCTACTGCCAGGTTACTGAAGTTAGTCTAATGTCTATACTAACCTCCATAACCTGTGTATACATGAGAGATAGTCAACCATGTTATATGAGTGTTGTTTTACTGAGAACAAATGTTGTACAGATATATATCAGTGTAGAACCTACTGCCAGGTTATTGAAGTTAGTCTTATGTCTATACTAACCTCCATAACCTGTTTATACATAAGAGATAGTCAACCATGTTATATGAGTGTTGTTTTACTTAGAACAAGTGTTGTGTGGGTATATATGAGTGTAGAACCTACTGCCAGGTTACTGAAGTTAGTCTTGTGTCTGTACTAACCCCCATAACCTGTTTATACATGAGAGATAGTCAACCATGTTATATGAGTGTTGTTTTACTAAGAACAAGTGTTGTGTGGTTATATATCAGTGTAGAACATACTGCCAGGTTACTGAAGTTAGTCTAATGTCTATACTAACCTCCATAACCTGTGTATACATGAGAGATAGTCAACCATGTTATATGAGTGTTGTTTTACTGAGAACAAGTGTTGTACAGTTATATATCAGTGAAGAACCTACTGCCAGGTTACTGAAGTTAGTCTAATGTCTATACTAACCTCCATAACCTGTTTATACATGAGAGATAGTCAACCATGTTGTATGAGTTTTGTTTTACTGAGAACAAGTGTTTTGTGGTTATATATGAGTGTAGAACCTACTGCCAGGTTACTGAAGTTAGTCTAATGTCTATACTAACCTCCATAACCTGTGTATGCATGAGAGATGGTCAACCATGTTATATGAGTGTTGTGTTACTAAGAACAAGTGTTGTGTGGTTATATATCAGTGTAGAACATACTGCCAGGTTACTGAAGTTAGTCTTATGTCTATACTAACCTCCATAACCTGTGTATACATGAGAGATAGTCAACCATGTTATATGAGTGTTGTTTTACTAAGAACAAGTGTTGTACAGTTATATATGAGTGTAGAACCTACTGCCAGGTTACTGAAGTTAGTCTAATGTCTATACTAACCTCCATAACCTGTGTATACTTGAGAGATAGTCAATCATGCTATATGAGTGTTGTTTTACTGAGAACAAATGTTGTACACTTATATATCAGTGGTGAACCTACTGCCAGGTTACTGAAGTTAGTCTAATGTCTATACTAACCTATATAACCTGTATGAACATGAGAGAAAGTAAACCATGTTAGGTGAGTGTTTTTTTACTGAGAACAAGTGTTGTACAGTTATATATCAGTGGAGAACCTACTGCAAGGTTACTGAAGTTAGTCTTATGTCTATACTAACCTAGATAACCTGTTTATACATGAGAGATAGTCAACCATGTTATATGAGTGTTGTTTTACTAAGAACAAGTGTTGTGTGGTTATATATCAGTGTAGAACATACTGCCAGGTTACTGAAGTTAGTCTTATGTCTATACTAACCTCCATAACCTGTGTATACATGAGAGATAGTCAACCATGTTATATGAGTGTTGTTTTACTGAGAACAAGTGTTGTACAGTTATATATCAGTGAAGAACCTACTGCCAGGTTACTGAAGTTAGTCTAATGTCTATACTAACCTCCATAACCTGTTTATACATGAGAGATAGTCAACCATGTTGTATGATTTTTGTTTTACTGAGAACAAGTGTTTTGTGGTTATATATGAGTGTAGAACCTACTGCCAGGTTACTGAAGTTAGTCTAATGTCTATACTAACCTCCATAACCTGTGTATACATAAGAGATAGTCAACCATGTTATATGAGTGTTGTTTTACTTAGAACAAGTGTTGTGTGGGTATATATCAGTGTAGAACATACTGCCAGGTTACTGAAGTTAGTCTTGTGTCTGTACTAACCCCCATAACCTGTTTATACATGAGAGATAGTCAACCATGTTATATGAGTGTTGTTTTACTAAGAACAAGTGTTGTGTGGTTATATATCAGTGTAGAACATACTGCCAGGTTACTGAAGTTAGTCTAATGTCTATACTAACCTCCATAACCTGTGTATACATGAGAGATAGTCAACCATGTTATATGAGTGTTGTTTTACTGAGAACAAGTGTTGTACAGTTATATATCAGTGAAGAACCTACTGCCAGGTTACTGAAGTTAGTCTAATGTCTATACTAACCTCCATAACCTGTTTATACATGAGAGATAGTCAACCATGTTGTATGAGTTTTGTTTTACTGAGAACAAGTGTTTTGTGGTTATATATGAGTGTAGAACCTACTGCCAGGTTACTGAAGTTAGTCTAATGTCTATACTAACCTCCATAACCTTTTTATACATAAGAGATAGTAAACCATGTTATATGAGTGTTGTTCTACCTAGAACAAGTGTTCTATGGTTATATATCAGTGAAGAACCTACTGCGAGGTTACTGAAGTTAGTCTTATGTCTGTACTAACCCCATAACCTGTTTATACATGAGAGACAGTCAACCATGTTATATGAGTTTTTTTGTAACTGGGAACAAGTGTTTTATGGTTATATATCAGTAGAGAACCTACTGCCAGGTTACTGAAGTTAGTTTAATGTCTATACTAACCTCCATAACCTGTTTATACATGAGAGATAGTCAACCATGTTATATGAGTTTTGTTTTACTTAAAACAAGAGTTGTGTGGTTACATATCAGTGGAGAACCTACTGCCAGGTTACTGAAGTTAGTCTAATGTCTATACTAATCTCCATAACCTGTGTATGCATGAGAGATAGTCAACCATGTTATATGAGTGTTCTTTTACTTAGAACAAGTGTTGTACAGTTATATATCAGTGAAGAACCTACTGCCAGGTTACTGAAGTTAGTCTAATGTCTATACTAACCTATATAACCTGTTTATACATGAGAGATAGTCAATCATGTTATATGAGTGTTGTTTTACTGAGAACAAATATTGTATTGTTATTATATCAGTGTTGAACTTACTGTCTATAGTAGTACCTCCATAACCTTTTTTAACATTTGGGATAGCAGATCGTTAGTATGTTGCTGACTGTCAATTTTATAACATGTATTCATTTATTAAGAATTTTGCATCTATTTCTGATGATTCTTTGCTTTTGATTTAAACAAATATACAAATGATACATGATTTGTTTGATTTATGAGCCTTTTGAACAGACTATATTTTAAAAATGGTCAACATATCCTGAAAATCATTGAATATTTCAAGACATCTTAATGAATCCCTCAAAGAAGAAAGTTGCTAATTCAATTGCTTCTTATAGAAATAAAGGCTAAGCTAAGCACAGCATGATATGATGGCAGCTATTTGAAGAGGGAATATTGCAAAAGTGTACACTATCATGATTGATATAATATTGATCTTCACACAGCAATTTTTTAGACTCAATGGTATATTTGGTACAGTTACGAGCCTGAAGTACTTAAAATATATACAGTTATTCAATTCAGCTATTAGAAATTGTAATGGGAGAAGAAGAACATTGGGTTTACAAAACAAAACACCTTTAAGTCAAAGTAACAATATTATGTTGTTAACCTAAATGGATAAAGATGGAGTGGCCAGGTTTTGTACTCAGTTCTAGTTGCACCATTTATATGTACTTTAATGTACTTCAAAATTTGTCATGACAGTGAAAAAGCAAATAGGACAGTTGATTTCCTTACTTAGTTGACATTGACTGAACAACATGGAATATGCAAACACACAAATTAACATTTATTGACTAGTGATTGCACACTAGTAATGATAATCTATTGGAAAGACCAAACCACCAAAATTTAAAAAAAGCAGTGTTTCAAATTACAAAAAGGAGACTGAATTCTCACTCCAAGGCTTTAAAGGTATTCAGCAATGGACATGAGTGCAATAGAATATATTGATATTCACCAATACAATAGTTATGATAACATTTATGTCGGTCAGATAACTTAAATCTGTTATTCAGATAAGCTTCTGTTAATTCTTCTTAGAAAAATATTGTAAGACAATTCAGAAAATCAGTTTCCCTCCTCATATTTTTGGTGTTATCATATTTGATTAACTAAATTCAAGTTAAATTATTTACATATATTAATACAATTGAATAATTAATAAGACTAGGAAACTAGCTGTTAACTTATATTCATCCGTTTCCTAATACAAATAGGAACATTTCATATGTGTAATACTCAAGAAGTAGAATGTATAAAATAAATTAAATTATGTTACACTAAATGGAAAACAAACAAATTATATGATAATGTTAACGTTGTGAACACAAGAAGAAGAAAAACAAATCAGATATACCAGATTTATAAAAGTAAAGTGCATGTTTCTATAGTATACCGACACAGGTATTTTAGATATGAATATGTACTGTAGACCTGCTAAACAAGATGTTTATATTAGATACACCTTTAGGGTGTTTGCCCGAATGGGTGTACCTAAGTAACACCAAGACATTAGTGTTAATGCAGAATGATAGTTTTCAATAATTTAGGAAGGAGTATTTCAGCGATTTTTTCATATGTTACTGAAAATGCAGGGTATCCAATGTAACATCTTGGAAAACAATTAACAAACAAAAAAAAGAATAACATTATAGATAAAAGATAAATTAACTAAGTAAAAATTGCAATACAAACAGTTAGTAACAACAAAAAATATGTTTACAGGAACAGTATTCCCCACCCCCCACCACACACACACACTAAAAATATACCCATCAAATCACTGATAAATCAGACTGTTAAATTCAAATTTAATTTAGATTAATTATATATGTATTATCGACAATAAATACTACTAGTTGATGCTACAATACTCTTCTAAGCAAATACGGTGTGATCCGGAATTGAAACCTATCCGTATAAAAATTGTTTTACATTTTCGGGAATATCCCAGATATAAATAGATTTATATATGCGCGCGCAATCGACCGGCTACCGAGGTTAGTATAAAGTCTCTTCCTAATTATTGTTCATTCGGAACATTTATATTTCTTATCTGTATTAGCTTCCTGCAATTAAGAGCACCTCCATACGGACCATTTAAGATATCTAAAACTTGGCAATGAAGAACTTTACACAGATCGCTTAACCTCACTTATATGCTATATGGTAATAAAAGATATAGTTGATAATCTATATAGAAAAAAATAGAAATAGATTCCCATACGTATAATTCTTAAAGAATAATAATGATTCAAAACATGGACACATATGTGCCTCAGTCTTTCAAAAATTCATTAAATTCATCTAGAAATAATTAATGAGGCATTGAGTAATGGTCAACTAGTAGGAGACATTAATTAATGTTCCTTACAACAATAAGTGTAACTTTACCACGAGACGCATTGAGAGATTAAATGATCTAATATAAAACCATTTTTGTAGATGCATAACTTTTAAGTTCAAGATACAAAAGATTTCATTAATAAAACACACGAGGTAAAAAGGGAATGCATTCTTATTGCCTATGATGAAACGTAAATGTACACAAATATGATCATTGATAATTTAAAAGAAACAGTTATCAATGCAGAAGAATTAATTGACACAAAAGAATATCCTTTAAAGATTCTCAACAAAAAAGATTAAACTGCATTTGTTTAATTTATTCCAAGAAACAATAAGTTTGAGTTTAATGGAAAGTTATACAAACAAGTTATAGGAGCGCCCCCTCCATAGGTGGTATATTTTCAACATCATACACATATCTGCATCTGTCTGTCCTATTAATAAATATCTTAGATAAGTTCAAATAGAAAGAAAGCATCAAATTACACTGTCAATATAGAGATGACGGTTTTATGGTCTTCACATGCAAAATAGAGCAAGTAGAAGATTTCTTTAACATAGCGAACAAAATTTCCCCTATACTTAAGTTCACATATGAGGTAGTAGTTGGGAGACTTTTGAAAAGGGACCCATGCTTAAAAAGTTAACTTTAAGCAAAAAATCACAGAACACTGTTAAATTTCTGAATTATAGGCAACAAACATAAGTTGGCAAAAACAGTGTAAAGTTTTGAGATTTATTACGTATGTTAATTTAAGGAACCGCATTTCATAATAATCGAACTATCCTGCGACTGATATGATTATATAATATTTGGTAAACTATGCTTGCCAATCGGAGGGACTTTTCAATAAACATGGCGTTGAATGTTGAGTCTTAGCAAGGCGAGCTAAATGACATCAAATTGACCAGTGTTGTACAAGATATAAATCAATTGCAATATCTTTATACCAAAAAAACCCGAAAAACAGACACGATAATAAGCAAACAAAAAAACAGGCTCCGGATTTGGACAGGTATATTAAGTATACATGTATAAGCAGCAAATTGAATGTATTAGCTGGATCCAAACCCATTTCTAAGGTGGAACAGGATTTTACGGCACAAAATAAAATGGTAAGCAAGTAGATTTTGTCTTATTTGGTAGGAATAAAACTTTCACATTTTACGAAACAAAATATCGTACTTGCTCTGAAATATGTATTTTTAAAAGAAAAATATATAAAATTACTGAGGGATTCTAGTTGAAATATTACCTCTACCAATAAACACCCTAGAAGTGTCATCCATTGGTAGTAGTTTGACCTTTCACACTGGTAAAAATGAAAGCTAACACCATCCAGAAATGAACTATTGAAATTAAAACATTCCTTATCTCCCTACTTTATATTTAACACCACTCTCAACATGCCATAATTGTCCTGATTTACAATAAAAAGAAAATATTATCCTCCACACACATGGTAATGAAAATACTGAGATATAATTTACAATTCAGTTGAAATAATAATTAGCATAAAAAAGTTCTAAGGTTCGCGTATTGACTTTTTTTTTTTTTAAAAGCAACTTGTATTGAAGGTGTTTGACGTTATAATGATACGCTTGGTTTGCTATAAATATAGATGGTGTTTGACATTTTGAAGATATGCTTGGTTTGCTATATAGAAAGTGTTTGACATTATAATAATACGCTTGGTTGTTAAAGAAGTTGTTTGACATTTTAAATATACGCTAAGTTTGATATATAGAAGATGTTTGTATTATAATGATACGCTTGGCTGTTGAGGAAGTTGTTTGACATTTTAATGAGACGTTTTGTTTGTTATAGAAGTTGTTTGACATCTTATAGATACGCTTGGTTTGCTATATAAAAAGTGTTTGACATTATGATGATAAGCTTGGTTGTTAAAGAAGTTGTTTGACATTTTAAATATACGTTAATTTTGATATACAGAAGGTGTTTGACACTATAATAATACGTTTGGTTGTTAAAGAAGTTATTTGGCGTTAATTTTGATATATATAAGGAGTTTGCATTATAATGATACGCTTGGTTGCTAAAGAAGTTGTTTGACATTTAAAAGATACGCTTGGTTTGCTATATAGAAGGTGTTCGACATTTTGAAGATACGTTTTGTTTGCTATATAGAAGTTTTTCGACATTTTAAAGATACGTTTTGTTTGCTATATAGAACGTGTTTGACATTTAGTTGATACGCTTGGTTAGTTATATAGGTGTTTGACATTTGAACACTTTGGTTTGCTATAAGATGTTTTAGACCTTTTAAAAGTTATGTGCTTGGTTTGTTATAGATTAGTTGATACTCTTGGTTTGTCATAGGAAGTGTTTGATATCAAGTTAAAATGCTTGATATGGTGATTTTTCTTCTTCTCAATTTAACGTTTTATTTTATGAGTCGAATAGATAAACATATGAACACAAGATCGAGAGAGCTTTCGGATTCAATGGAGACATGTTTTGTTTTCCACTGAAAATGCAAGCCATAAACATGACTCTTCTATCTTATTTGCATTAGTTTGAAATGAGAGACAAATACTATCACAGTTACAGTCTCAGTTTTAAATGAGTTGTTGTCATGGTTGATTTTTTAGTTTTGGGTTCATTTTAGTATATGCAGATTAAAAAATAGCAAAGATTCTATTTCTCCAGGGTAATTTGTTAAACAATGAAAACCTTTGCATATTTAGTCAACAGAAAAAATATCAAGGCAAGATAAAAATGTAGTTTGATTATAGATTTAGAATATTGGCCGCTCCTGACAATTAAATGCTAATTTCTTGAGTTAATGTTTGTCAGTATCACTGAGATTTGCACGTGTCCCGTTAGATTTGCATTGGTACTGTCTCATATGTCTTTGGAACGAGCATTTTCAAGAAAAAGTGCTTGCACAGACCAGTTCATAAATTATGTTGGACATTCATTTGAGATATGCGACATAGTTTGAAAATCCTATTCAAACAAGGATGACGGTGATAGCTTGTTTCATTTTCTATTTTGTCACTATGATAGAGGTTATTCTCTCCTTTTGAATTATAGATTAAAATCATTTGAGTAGTGAAATCACATACACATTAACATGATCTCATTTGAGTATTTTGATGCTAATTAGAAACATGCGTTACCCCTATTTGTTGTCATTCATACGACCAAACAAAGGACCATTGATTTTGAATATTCATCACTGTAAAAAAAAACAGAAACCAGTTCGTCCCATGAAAAACCCATTAAAGTCAAAGACAGGAGCTTGCAATGAAGTACGAATTCTTTCACCATGAAGACTTTCTAACAACCATCAAAACCTCCCCATTACTCGAGGCGAACACGCTACCAGTAAACCATAGCGGCGGTTTTACGTACGAACTCTTACAAAGCATTAAGATTTATTTGTTTAGCGGTTTTTTTTTACCAGATCATCTGTTTTCATATGATAAATGAATATGTGGAAAAACATATTTTTTTTTTAATTTATATAATTACATTTGATATGACACAGCCATTGAAGCCATTTTTTTATTAAATATACATCCGTTATTTTGTAATCTCTAAAATATCTCAAGGATTTGTGTAAGTTAATAAGTTATTAAGTCATATATTAACGCCTGTTTCATCCGCAAGACATCACGCATTAAATGTTAATCTGCTTTATAATAAATTACAACAGAGAGAAAAAAACTTAATTTTCACAAAACTTGCACGCAAATTAATTAATTGGTTATTCATTGAAAGATTTTTGGTTTATGATTTTTTGAAAACTCTTTATAGGCCGATGTAACATAACAATTTATTTGTATGTACAACATCATACTTATACAGACAACGTTTTATAAGCTTGATAAGATGAGTTAAGTGTGTTGTTCCTGTTTGCTGAATCACAAATAGCGGAAAGGGTACTTTTGACATCCCAGTTTAACTCTGATTTTGGCTGATGGATGCTCTAGTTTGCTGGCTCTTACTTCTCTTGGCTTTCCATGTTGGTAAGTTATCAAACAAACTATTACACGAAAGTGATTTATATTCTTTATTAAAAGCTTAAAATACGATTTTTTTTTCAACTGAATAAGTATACTGCATTTCCTGTTATGGGTTCATGAAGTATGTTAGCGTTGTCATATTATGTCAATTATTACAATATAATTTAAAAAAAAAATAAATATGAGATCAGCTTTAACATCTTTACTATTTCCTTCCCTCTTTTTGTCTTTTTTGTTGTTGTTTTACTTTCGAAAATAAAAATCCATAAATCTATTAATAATTAAAAAATTTGACATTGTGTAATATCGATGATATAGTTTACAGACTGAATCATTGACTTAAATCCGAATCGGATGAGGGAAATGCCATTCGGAAATAATTTTCTTTTTCAAAATTTCCCCCTTGATAATCCAAACTAGATAATTAAGGGTTGACAACAAACAACACTTTGCATGCTAGATTCAGCAAAATAAAGTCATACTCGTTTTTATTGTGGAAACACAAAAACATTAAAGTATAATAGACAATGTCATGGAAAGATATGAAAATCTCTATCGTGTACAATAACCAAGAGCATACTATGCATAGATTCAATACATAACATTTAATTAAAAATAATTGAAATATTTAGTTATTGTTTAAACTACATATAAAATGACTGATTACAATCCCAAAAAGTACAAGACATCATGCCAATATAGAAATACTAATCTATTAGGCTGGTGATACCCAGTGATAGTAATAACATTACCAATTTGAATGTACCATGATCCGGTATTAATGTTCAAGTTGTCATCCAAGCACGCAGTTTGAAATATATGTTTTCCATTTACAAAAAGAGCATACTGTTCTATTATATATATAGAGAAAATTAGTGGTAAAACATCATGAAAATAATACCAAGTCCAACCTTATAAGGAGTGAAATTATGTCTTGTAAAAAAAAATCACTCTGATAAAGAAACATTTCCTTGAAATGGCATCATCAGTATACTTGATTTATACAAATATTTAGTCAATTTGGTGCGTGTTTTTCAACAGACAGTCAGCATCCCTATATAAGACATTGTGTACACCTCTTCTAGTCTACTTGCTCTTTTATTCGTATTGATTTATTGATTGTTGCCTGCTTGACGTCCTTTTTATTCTTATTAAGCAGACTTCATGCAAGCTCAAGAAAAATGATAAGAAGCTAACATAATCCTGGCTATAGCTTCAAGTATCGCTGTATGTGTAGAGAATGTCCTCTCATCGAATAATTTAAAGTTTGGTTACTAATATACTTAAAGCTAAACTTTACCAAAAGAGATGATCCAAATATTCTCATTATGAATTTTCCATTTATAAGTATAACTATGCGTATCTATCATACTAATTGAAAAAGATCGCCTTTTGTCGCTTCTCCGTCTTCCAGATCAAACAATCAATATGGGTTTTGGTGTGTCTCTTCTCCGTCTTCCAGATCAAATCAATCAATATGGGTGTTGGTGTGTCGCTTCTCCGTCTTCCAGATCAAATCAATCAATATGGGTGTTGGTGTGTCGCTTCTCCATCTTCCAGATCAAATCAATCAATATGGGTTTTGGTATGTCTCTTCTCCATCTTCCAGATCAAATCAATCATTATGGCTTTTGTGTGTCTCTTCTCCATCTTCCAGATCAAATCAATCAATATGGGTGTTGGTGTGTCGCTTCTCCGTCTTCCAGATCAAATCAATCAATATGGGTTTTGGTGTGTCGCTTCTTCGTCTTCCAGATCAAATCAATCAATATGGGTTTTGGTGTGTCTCTTCTCCATCTTCCAGATCAAATCAATCAGTATGGCTTTTGTGTGTCTCTTCTCAATCTTCCAGATCAAATCAATCAATATGGGTTTTGGTGTGTCTCTTCTCCATCTTCCAGATCAAATCAATCAATATGAATTTTGGTGTGTCGCTTCTCAATCTTCCAGATCAAATCAATCAATATGGGTTTAGGTGTGTCTCTTCTCGGTACTTATACATCTTCGGATTTCAAATGTTTGTCTTTGAGCGTTCCTGATGAAGGTAAATCCAGAAAAGCGCTTCGGACGCAAGAAATTGTTAAACGTGTTGTTTTCAATTTTTTTCTCCATCTTCCAGATCAAATCAATCAATATGAATTTTGGTGTGTCGCTTCTCAATCTTCCAGATCAAATCAACCAATATGGGTTTAGGTGTGTCTCTTCTCCGTCTTCCAGATCAAATCAATCAGTATGGCTTTTGTGTGTCGCTTCTCCGTCTTCCAGATCAAATCAATCAATATGGGTTTTGATGTGTCTCTTCTCTATCTTCCAGATCAAATCAATCAATATGGGTTTTGGTGTGTCGCTTCTCCATCTTCCAGATCAAATCAATCAATATGAGTTTTGGTGTGTCTCTTCTCCATCTTCAAGATCAAATAAATCAATATGACTTTTTGTGTGTCGCTTCTCCGTCTTCAAAATCAAATCATTCAGTATGGCTTTTTGTGTGTCGCTTCTCCGTCTTCCAGATCAAATCAATCGATATGGTTTTGGTATGTCTCTTCTCCATCTTCCAGATCAAATCAACCAATATGGGTTTAGGTGTGTCTCTTCTTTGTCTTACAGATCAAATCAATCAGTATGGCTTTTTGTGTGTCGCTTCTCCGTCCTCCAGATCAAATAAATCAACATGGGTTTTGGTGTGTCTCTTCTCCATCTTCCAGATCAAATCAATCAATATGGGTTTAGGTGTGTCTCTTCTCCGTCTGCCAGATCAAATAAATCAATATGGGATTTGGTGTGTCTTTTCTCCATCTTCCATATCAAATCAATCAGTATGGCTTTTTGTGTGTCGCTTCTCCGTCTTCCAGATCAAATCAATCGATTAATATGGGTTCTTAAAACCATGCTGCTTAATTAATGCATGAAATGTTATGATTATAAATCCTAATATTTGTTCTACAATAAGGTATGATTGCAATGCAATGAGACAACTATCCACCAGAGACCAAATTACGTGGATGTAAGCAACTTTAGGTCAACGCACAGCCATCAACAATGAGCAAAATTAAACTCATACCGTATAATAAGCTATAAAAGACATGACAAAATATGAAACAATACAAACGAGAAAACCAAAAGTCATGATTTGTGCTTAAACAATAATAAAAAAAAAACATGGCAAGTTACCAACGACTATCACTGAATTACAGAAATTTTTGACTTGGGATAGGTATACATAAAGAATGTAAGCGCTCAACCCTCCCCTTACCTGGAACACTGGTGTAACATCACAACATAAAACCAAACTGTAAAAATCAGTTGGAAAGGTCTTGACTGGTCAGATTGGTACGAAGCAAAAAAAAACAACAAAAAACAACGGACAAAATTAGACACACAGATCTAAGAGAACTCGCAGTTACTGAAAGCTAGTTCAAAGCCAATAACAACTAATAAACAAATCATGTTTCCCAGACTAAAATAGCAATCATTACGTGACATCCAACGAATAATCTGAGAAACCATGACCTTGTGCAGTGTCAAAATATAAGAATTGACAGGAAGGGGGACCATAAGTGTTCATAACTGTATAGGCATTAGCAGTATCTATTTCAGGTTTAAATTTATCAAAAACAAAATCAATGTGAATACAAATAAAGTTCAAATAAAATTGAGAATGGAAATGGGGAATGTGTCAAAGAGACAACAACCCGACCATAGAGCAGACAACAGCCGAAGGCCACCAATGGGTCTTCAATGCAGCGAGAAACTCCCGCACCCGGAGGCGTCCTTCAGCTGGCCCCTAAACAAATATGTATACTAGTTCAGTGATAATGGACGTCATACTAAACTCCAAACTATACACAAGAAACTAAAATTAAAAATGATACAAGACTAACAAAGGCCAGAGGCTCCTGACTTGGGACAGGCGCAAAAATGCGGCGGGGTTAAACATGTTTTTTGAGATCTCAACCCTCCCCCTATACCTCTAGCCAATGTAGAAAAAACAAACGTACAACAGTACGCACAGTAAAACTCAGTTTAAGTGAAGTCCGAGTCCGATGTTAGAATAGGAAACAAAAGAAAATAAACAAAATGACAATAATACATAAATAACAACAGACTACTAGCAGTTACTGACATGCCAGCTCCAGACCTCAATTAAACTGATTGAAAGATTATGTCTTCATCATATGAATATCAGGCACAATCCCTCCTGTTAGGGGTTTAGTATTATACCATCATAAAATATATGAGAAGAACATAACCCGTGTCATGCCAACAACTGGTTTTAGAATAAATATGTTTAATTCCGATGCAAAGACCCTATAAGTGAATCAATATTAAAGCCAAAATATGCAATCTTTTATGACCTGATAACAGTATCGTAACTATATCCCTTCTTAATAAGTCTGTTTAAAGGTTTTATTAGCTTATGAGGTGAATACTGACATTTTTGTGCTTTGTAAAAAATATTACCATAAAAGATTGGATGTGAAATACCCGAACGTATAAGATGCCTGCATGTTGAGTTATATTTACGAATGATGTCCTTATACCGATGATAAAATTTAGTAAATGTTTTGACTAGTTTATGATATCGAAAACCCTGCTGTAATAATTTTTCAGTAATACATAAATTTCTCTCGCTAAAATCTAATACGTTGTTACATACACGAGCGAATCGTACAAGTTGAGATATATAAACACCATAAGATGGTGACAAGGGAACGTCACCATCTAAAAATGGATAATTAACGATAGGAAATGAAAAATCATCTCTTTTATCATAAATTTTTGTATTAAGCTTCCCGTTAATGATATAGATATCAAGATCGAGGAAAGGACAGTGGTCATTGTTAGTATTAGCTTTATTTAAAGTAAGTTCAACAGGATAAATTTCTTTAGTATACATACTGAAGTCGTCATTATTGAGAGCCAATATATCATCCAAATATCTAAAAGTATTGTTAAATTTTTGTATCAGATGTTGTTTCGATGGGTCTTTGCTGATTTTAGTC